TTGAATTATTCGAGTATAGTATAATTTAACAAAATTTATATTCTTAAAATTAGTATTTAATTATAATATTATTTAAAATATAACGAATTAGATCTTGATTTTCAAATTTTAATTATATGAACTTTTAATTTGTGTCAATTTAATTATAAAAATGAGGATTTATATATATATATAGACGTACGAAATAATTACCAACTGGGTATACTAATTAATTTTATTCTTAATCCAACATTGCATAGATACTATTATATTTATTTGATATTCTATTAGGTATTTCTAGTAGCAATTTCTCATTTCTTATATTTTACTATGATATATACACTAAATAACATACGTGATCTTTATTATAGTACTGTTATTACAATAATTCTGTCAAACATTAAGAATTAAGTATTGTTGCCCCTAAGAGAGCAGTACTTCATTATAATACAAATTCTCTTCTTTTGTTTTACATTTTTATTTACTATTTTATGGATTATTTGTTTACTTATATATATATATATATGGGGCATATGCAATGATCTTAATTTTTTATGAAATTTTATTATAACTAATTTATATAAACAGAAATTCACTTTTATAAGAGATTTAGATTAATTCAAAAAATCAATTTATATTAATGAATTATTTGATTACAAGAATTTAAATCCATAAATTATTTACACACTTCAAAAATACAATTATGACTTGAAATCCTCTCAATTATTTTTAGATAATTTTTACCCGTATTTAATTAAAACATAAAATTTTAGGAAGATAAAAAAAACTTAGAGTTACTAATTAGTCACCCATTTTGGAATCACTACAAATTCTGGTTACTAATCAGTGACCCACTTTGTAAACGCTTAAAATAGGGTCACTAATTAGTGACCCTTATTGTGACCGCTTACATGGAGGTCACTAAATAGTGACCAAACATAAGAGAGCATGGCCAAATTTGTGACCCCTTTAGTGACCTATTTTGTAACTATCTAAGAACGGGGTCAATAATTAGTGACCCCATTAGTAACTAATATACAGCGGTCACTAAATTATTGACCAATTTGTGACTGATTACTGTGGGTCACAAAATTGGTCACAAAAAAGGTCACAAATTTTGTTACTACATTTTTTTTTAAAAAAAAATGAGACTATTCGGTCACTGATGGGTAATTAAACGGTCACTGGTTAGTGACTCCAAGAGGGGGTCACTAATTTGCAATCACTAATTCAACTTTTTTTTGATAATGTGTAATTAAATTGGTTAAGTTGTCATGATGACATATTGAAAGCGGAATGCGAAACATATCTAAAAAAGTATTTTGTTAAAATTTTGACCATTATTTATTATAAAAAAAGTAAAAGTGGATTACAAATAGAATCACCAAATTACATTCTTAAACTGCATCTGTTTGGGTCCCATAATTCCCTCCTCTATTTTCTTCTTCTTCTACTACTCCTTTTGCATCTTCTTTTCTTTAATTACCATTGCTAGCTATTAATTTTGATGACACAAGCAGATTTTGTAAATCCAAAACCAGATGAAGCAGAAGTAGAAGCAAAAGCAAATTTGGAAGAAGCAAGGGAGGAAGGAGGGGCAAGGAAGTTGAGGGGAAATCGGTCACCCAAACTCAGTTTGGATAAACCCATCTCCTAAGATGGATTTAGTCACCCAATCCGGCCTTTAACTTGCAAATAGTTTTAAATGTGGGTAAATTCTGCATTTAAAGCACAAAGAAAAGAATCAGTAGTGAAAACAAACTAGGGAAATGTCAAAGAGGTATAAAAATTAAAGTTCCTCTTTCGTGGGGACTCAAGCCTCCCTGAATTCAGAAAGTGACGCAGGGAACAGGAAAAGATAAATAAATAAATAACAACATACAAAGTGATTACAGCGTGATCAAAGGTGGCAAGTGACCACATCCAACTAGAACTCGACATCACATCCGTGGCTTTGTTTGCCTTTTGTTTTCTTAAATGAAATTATTTGGGTTTCTTGATACAGAAAAGTTTATAAAGCCAGTAGAAGATTTTCAAAAGTAAATAGTCCAAGAAAGCCTGAAATCATAGATTCTTAAAAGGGCAACAAAAAAAAAACTTTATATAAATAATGATAAAGTGTTAGGGAAAAAAGAAATATAACCATGTTAACTTAAGATTATAAGAAATGAGTTCTCTATGGTTATGAGAGAGTATGTACAGGATTTTTTGGGTTTGAGCATAGAAATTTAAATGATATGAATTTTGTAATATTTTATCTTATATTAATTTGTGTGTGAAATCATACTACATATAAGTTTTTAAAAATTGCTATCAAGTAACTTGAATTTAAATATTTTAGGTTAATAGTGTTAACTCAACAAATTGTTAAAGCCGGTAATTCTTGGTAGGGTAATTAATAGGTCAAATTTAAATTAAATAGAGTAAATCTGGATGTGAAACTAATTAATATTTTCATAATTGAATCTGATCTGATTTTTTATAGTATTTATGTTTATTAAATTATATTCAAATCTATGAATAATTCAAAATCCAAAAAGAAAAATTCAGTCCGATAATAAAATAATACTCTTTTGTACTTAAATCTCTTAATTTTATTTCATCAATCATATTGGCCTCTAAATTTTTAATTAATTTTATCAATTTAATCTTTATATTTTTGAATTTATTAATATTTTATATATAATTATTAATATTATAAAAAATATTATTGAAACTCTAATTCGGATTTTTAATAGATTAGATTGTTTAATTTTATATCCGATTCATTTATTTCGAATTATAGATATTTGTAAACTAATCTGATCTATCGAATAATCTAACCAGAGTCGAATCCTAAAGTTCAAATCAAAGTCATATTAGATTTAGATTAAAATATAACCCATTCACAACATTCTTGCATCATTACAATTTTTTTTTATTGAGTAAAAAAATTTATCGTCAATGTAAAAATAAAAATATTTTTACTGAGTTACATAAATTTAATATGTCATTTATTTGTTTTTTATATTTAATATTTTTTTATTAAATGATACATATGTAGAGTGATTAAAGATTGGGCAAAATAAATTCCATGTACAATTGAGTATTTTGAATTCAACCAAGCGCATGCAAGTTGAATAGGAAAAGAAATCTAAGATAAGTGAAGAATGGGAAGGAGACCTGATTCGGACCCACCCAATATTTGTCATGGTGATTTGAGGCATCAGTACATGAGATACCGCTATCCCGGATACATAAAGAAGCACGAATCTCTCCTGCTGTTGTTTATGGCAACAGACAGATTGTTATATTCCATCTAAAACGGATCAGCAACTTTTGAATTCATTTAATTTTTTTTTTTGGTACAAAAGATAAGAAGAGAAAAAAGGAATTTTTAAAATTTATTAATTTAAATTCATCTTTCTTACTTATTTTCAAATAAATATTTTTAAAATTCATATTATTGAATTAAAATTTCAATTAAAAATATTTGAAAATGATATGAAACATTTTTTTATAATTATGTAAATATTTTTTTATTTTTAAATTAAAATGTCTGAACCCTAATCATGAAAAAGGCTGTGTCCGAAAAGAAACCTTAATGTCTTCTCTTCTTGGAACACAGAACACAAGGAAAAAACATGATTTAACATTTAATCTATTCAAATATTAAACCTAAAAAGTAATTTAAATTTTGAATAACAATAATTTTAAATTATTATTGAATGATAGAAATATTTTTTTCTATTATCAAATATGACTAAAACTATTTTGATACTAAAAATTCAACATTTTGAATTAAATGGAACCGAATACATGCTCAAAATAAAAATTCTATACGCACAAACAGAGTAGATCAGAAATAAATGATTTAATTGATTAATTCTGGTTATATAGTGATATATATTTTTTTACTATAAATAAAATATTGAAAAGGAAAATAAGAAAAGACAACTTTCTCACGTTCTGATGAAACCTATAAAAAAACAATATGATCCAACTCGAATTCTTCCCTCGGCCCTAGGTGTTGAAAATAGCATGCCCTTATAATAATAATATCAGTCCCGAAAGGAAATGCACCGCACAAAGGTTTCCTTCCATGTTTCTACCTTGAAGTTTCTATGATACAAGTCAAGTTGATCGCAAGTCGTTTATGGCCTACTTTGATTACATCTGATTTAACCTGATTTGTTTAAATAATCAACTAGATTCATGCTAAAAAAATTAGTTATTTATTAAACAGATCTGACTTATTAAATCTTAATCTAGAATATTAGTCTGATTGGTTGATCTATTTTATACATGTGTATGATATAATTTATAATATATAATATATTATATTTAATAATTTATTGTAAAATTCAATGGAAGATAAATTTTATATGCTTATATAAGTTGAGGTATGTTTCAGAACTTAATAGGTTTTTAACTTGTTGATTTATTAGTTTGGTTATTTTGGCCTGATAACCTAATAGGTCAAGTTAACTCCTACTAAAAAATTAAATAACTTAGGAATAAGTAAAATTATATTTTAATTAAAAGCAAAATTATGTTGACAAAGAGAATGTCAAGAATTAAATTTTAAAACTTTAATAATTTATATAAATATAATTATATCAATTGTTAAATTTGTTAATAACTTATATAAATTATTAATAATTTATCTATTTTTTTATCTTAATAACTTTAAAATTTTGTTTACAACCCAAGATAATCTATTTTGCTATATATATATATATATATATCACTTTTTTTAAAAAAGATAATACAATCATTTTAACATAATAAGCAATTATTATAACTATCTTACCAAATATCAATTTATCAACTTTTGTTATATTTAGTATTTGCAAATATTTTCAACTTTTATATTGTTAACACTTTTTTAAGTAATACTATTTTAGCACTACTTTTGAAATAGTAGCTCATGCAAACAGGCTCTAAATCTCTCTTAGCCCGTACATCAAACTTTGTTATCTTTCTTTTTACACTGAACCAAAACAGACGTAACCCAGTTAGAATTCTTATATATATTCAAGAGTCAAAGAAGAAGAAGAAGAAGAAGAGATGGAGAATCAGGTGCCAGGTTTTCGGTTCTATCCAACAGAGGAAGAGCTAATATTGTTCTACCTCCACAACAAGCTACATGGAAACAGACAAGATCTAGAGTCGGTGATTCCAGTCCTTTGCGTCTACGAGTTCAAGCCTTCCGATCTCCCCCGTAAGTTTACAATTTCTGTGACCTCGTTTCTAGAAATTAGTGTTCAATTTTCAATTTTCCAGAAATCAGTTTGATCTTTTGTTAAATCCTTGCTAATATTGTTCAATAGAGCTTGCTGGAGAAAGGTGTCGTGGTGACCCAGAGCAATGGTTTTTCTTTACTCCAAGGCAAGAGAGAGAACTCAGGGGTGGAAGACCAAACCGCCTCACCACTTCAGGTTACTGGAAAGCCTCCGGTTCTCCTAGTTATGTTTATTCTTCAGATAACAGAGCCATCGGCGTAAAAAAAAGCATGGTTTTCTACGTAGGAAGATTTCCCACCGGAAGAAAAACTGAATGGAAGATGAATGAGTACAGGGCCATTGATGGAGACGCACCCCGTCAAAGGATGCAGTTCCAAAGGTTTGTGTGATTATGCAGCCTTTTTTCTTTCTTTATTTTTCTTCTTCAAAGGGTGCAGTTCCAAAGCTACATCAGTATGCTTGGTGGTTGTATGTGATTTTACTAATCAAGAGAGACAATTGGGGTTATTCTATTGTAACATGAGTGTCATGAATTAAAAACACAGAAATAAAAATCAGTACGGGGAACTAGGGTTGCAGGCCTAAAATTACATCAGAAGTCTTGTAATTTAGTTAAAACCCTACATCCACATGGATATTAAGATTTATGGAAGTAAATTGGTGGGGCATTCCTCTCCCAAGCTTACTTGTTTCAGTGTTCAATTCCTGCTTTCATTTTTAAATTTAATCTATAATGTATATTGCATAAAAAAGGAAAAGAAAGTAACAATAATGAAGAAGGCCAGCTTGAGTGAGTAAAATTTGAATTTTAATTGTCAATTAGGTTGCGATCATTTAGGTCGTCGATATCTGCGTAATCCCTGTTTTATTTTAATATTTTTAAAAAGTGAAAAAAGGAAATACCAATACAACTATTATGAATAAAATCTAAACGGTAAAAAAAAAAAAATTGCATGAAGGAACTGAGCCATATTGCTTAGTTTCATTTCCATATGTCAAGAAAGATGTAGTTTTAAAACTATTATTCAAACTGTAATGGATTTAAAAAATGATTAATGAGAAAATTTGTGAAAAAAAGGAAAAAAAAGTATTACTAGCTTTTTCAATGATTTTTGCATACTATAATATTTATTTAATTCTTAAAAATAATTCAGAAGTATTTATTCTTCATACCAATAGTTATTACTTATTAACCCCTTTACAAAATTTTTTGACTGAGCTATTAATCTGTTATGTATATTTTTGCAGCTAAGAAAGGAGTTTAGTTTGTGTAGAGTGTACAAAAGTTCAAATAAATGCATTCGTGCATTTGACAGACGGCCATCTCTTCCTGCGCCGACCAAGGCAATTGTCCAGCAAGCTCACCATGTCGATGAGGCGACACCATCTCATCATCCTCATGACCTCCTACGATGGAGAGGAACAGTCCACCCGTTAATCCTCAAGCTAAGTCCATCGAGAATTGGGATATCGGCATTTTATTAGATGAGCCTATTTGGGATTGGGACGACTGGCAAAATATTCTAGCTTAATTCTCTGCGTACTCGTATACCTTCTTTGAATGGAATTGGGATGACTGGCAAAATATTCTAGCTTAATTCTCTGCCTACTCCTACGTTTTTCGTTTTACTGCACTTTGAACATAAAAACAGGTTGCTTTGGGTGCAAGCGAACGAGGTGTTTTAATTTCAAGATTAGAAACAAAAGTAGAAGTTGTCTACTTAAGAAAACCACCTGAGAAGTTTTACCAGTTTGTGTAACGAATTTTACCGGTTTGTACTCATTGCAATATTTGAATTGTTGGGAGTAGGGCACCAGGAAAAGAGTTCTGTGTATATAGGTTTTTCAATTAATAGCTTACATTTCATTTATTTAATGATAAAAACATCCGGTATGTATGTTTAATTCTACAATTATTTAAATTTAATATCATCCTTGTCCAGCATGCTTAGAGCGGCTCAAAGTAGTCAAACAAATTTTATTTATTAAATAATAATTATATTGAATTTAAAACTTAGACCCCAGAAGAAGAAATTTCTGAGTGTGATAAACATTTTGTGATCACTAACAGTTGAGGAGAGTAGATCTTGCTTTCGCCTCTCACGTCCTATGGAGAAATGAAAACCAGCCATGATTATTCCCTTTACCTCGGAGATTGTTCCTCTCTGTTGATTTGTATCATATCCATTGATGTAATGAATTTGTTTCTGTTTTCGAAAAAAAAAAATTAATAGAATTAATGTTGACATGCAGGCTATTAGCTACCTATGCGACCTTTTTCATTTAAGATTGAGGCGGAAATATATATTTATTTATAAAGAAATTTGAAAAATTCTAGTTGACAGCAATAGAAAAATCAAAATGATAAATAATTAATTACAACAAATTAAAAGTTGTATAAATGATAACATGAATCATTGGAAGGAACGACTTTGACAATATTTTTAATGTTGAAAATTTTGCGGTACTTTAATTTTACGAGTATTCACATTTTAAGTTTAGTTCAATTTGGTTTATTATTTAAATTATACCAAATATGTTGGTTTTGAATAATATTAGATATGATCAATTTTCAATATACTCTAAAATGAATTAAACTAGATATGAATATAACGGTTTGGTTTGGTTTAACATAATCATTTTTACGTATTTTTTAAGAAAAAATTAATTAAATTCTATTTACTAAACAAAAGAAAAACACTCAGTGGACATATTACAAAATTATTCTGATTTCTTGCAATGCTAAGAGTTTTTAATATCAAATATTTTAAATGCCATTAAAAATCTCAGGAGATAGTAACTCTAACCAATTATAATTTGTGAATATTCTCTTTCATTTTGTTATACTCTTAGTGATAAAGACAATGTATTAGTTTTGCAGCTATAATATGTAAGACACCTGAAATTAGGCATGAGTAATATAAAGTCTCTAATAGCCTCCTTATTTAAGGTTTTGTTTTAGATTATATATATTAAATAAAATAAAATAATATATATAATTAATTTAGTTTAGTTCGATTACCTTTTTAAAAAATCTATAATTGAATCAAATCAAATTGATCAATTTTAATGTTTTAAAAACTATAACTAACATTTTTTTTCAGTTTTAATGAATTTTTAATTGGTCTCGTTAACGTTTGAATTGGATATTGCACTGGTTTGAACACCCCTACGTTATTTTTCAACAGATGGGTACATGGACATCATAGGTCAAAGTAGTTGTAGCATGGCCGCTATTTTGCACGTGACACAGGGATCTTCCTTTTGCACATTATAAATACCTATTCAATCGTATTTACAAATATACCATCCCACAAATCGGCGATGCCAATATACCGTCCCACCTCATCCGTTTTTTGTATACGAAAAACTAGAATTTATGAGGATTGACGTGGAATTATTTGTCTACAGATTATCGTAAGTATCCTCTCCTTAAGTTAGCGTTTTCTTTGTATAAGAGAAAAAGGAGCTCAGTGCCGCCTTGGTGCTCAAAAGCACGCATTTTTTTCCACTGATTTTTCTTTTCATAGTCAGAATTTTACTTTGATTGTTAAGCAACGGATTTTACCAACTTGGCCTCTAAACTTTCTTAAAATTAGCCCACTTGGTCTTTTTGTTAAATCTCAACAATTTGGTGTAAGATGGACTATTAACGTAACTGGATTAACATTTTTGTAATTTAAAAAACTAAAGCCGTAAAATCCTTAGTTTATGTTAAAGGGGAGCTCCTTTGACAAACGGTATTTAGCACCAGAAAAAATATTGTTTTGCGTTTTGCTGCTCTAGTGGTCTCGTCCCCTGCCTCTTTTCGGAAAGCTTCTGTCCTCACTCTTTTCCTTTTGCTTTCTTCCTTGCTTGGTTTTCTGGACTACTGTCCATCTTCCGCACTGAGATTCCTCCTGCTTGTCACGTGAGAAATTATGACCGCCGGCCTGCTCAACCACTTTTCCGGCCAACTTCTCTGCTGCTGATTTTTCTGGACAGACCTCAAATTGGTGACCAAAGCGGCCACAATGGAAGCACACAAGATGAAGCCCCTCGTACTCAACTCTTTATTTCCTTTCCTTCATCTGAAACTTAGCAAGCAGAGGCTTGGTCAGATCAACCTCCACTCACGTTTGTCTAGACCTTCATCTTAAAACAGAAAGATTTGTTGTTTATGCTTGTGTAGTAATGTATTGTAGCTCCGGGTCGGGTTGGAAGGGGCTAGCCTTATAAACTAGTGGTAGCCTTGTTGCTAGTCCGGGAACAAGCAGTTCTGGGCCTGTGCTTCCTGCTGCCAATTGGGGTTTCAGCTGGAAAATGGTAAGCAAATAATTTAAATCAAAGAGAAAACCTTAATTGTCATAAGCAAAAAGTTTTACTGATGAAGTAATTGAGTGGCTTTGGTTGTTGTAGGATCTCTTGGAGACAATAGATCTGCTTTGGTCAACTAATTTAATCCTATCTCAGACCATATACAGTTTATGTCAATTACAATGTAGGCTTGTAGAAAGAGCACGCACAGAAATAAATGAATACGGCATTGATTGTGCATGCCTTTTTCTCCACCTAATCCATGATAGGATCGTGTGATTGAGAGAAATGAGTTGATTATGAGGAACCCAAAGCTAATCTAGCATCCACAACTTCTTTAGTCAACATTGCAATTCATCCCTTCTAAAAAGTTCTCTTCAACTTCTATGCAAAACCAGATTGATGTTTATGAGGCTCTTTTTTTGGGTGTAATATTAGTAAGGTGACAATTTAACTTTTCTAAATTATCTTAAACCATATATTAATTAATCTAACCAAATCTATTAAAACTTGAACTAAGTGACTATTTGGTTTGGCCATTTTCTGTTTTCATTTTCAGTGAAAACAGAAAATGGTATTGAAATTATGGTTGGCAGACCATTTTCTATTTTCATTTTTTAAAAATGATATTTTAAAAAAAGCTGAAAATTGAAAATAATAAAAAATTGTTATCACACTACAGAAAATTATGTATATTGCAGCAATTTTATTACAGTGATTATTATTAATCGTTGTAATTTTTAGTATATTACGACGATTTATATAACGGTCATTTTATATAATATAAATTATGACAGTTATTTAATAAAACAGCAATTAAATCCCCCTTTTTTAATTTTTTAAAAATTATTTTAATTTACTTTTTTCCCCCTTTAAAAATGCCCACGCCCTTTCAAAACCCTAAAAACTCTCTCTCCCCTGCCATCTCTTCAAGCGGCTCTCCTCTCATAACTGCATTTCCCTTAGCCAAATCTTTCTCGACTCCTTCCGGTAGGTTTTGGGCACATCCACTAGCCAAACATCTTTTACACCAAGTTTCTCATTAGTGCAAAATCAAAGGCAGTAATTGGTAGTCGGATTTTGGAATAGTGTTTGCTTGTCGCTACATTTTTTCCTTTCGAACTAATCTGGGTATAACTCTTCCTTTTTTTGAGTTTGTCTATTTTTAGGAGTGGCA